AATCCAGAAACTAAACAAAAACAAGGGCAGAAATCTTTCCAATGTTCTAATTTTCAAAAGTCAACTCATTTAAAATCTCAAATAACAGAAAACAGGCTGAAAACCTTCTAATTGCTGCATCTAACATTTTTAAATCTTGCCTTTGTTTTGTTGCTGTTTTTAATTGGTAGACTGTTCTTAAGTTTGCAGAAAAATTGAGCAGAACGTAGAGTTTCCATTTACCCCCCGGCCCGACCTCAGTTTCCCCTGCCGCCAGAATCTTGCATTGATGTGGTGCATTAAGCTTACAGTTGATGAACCAATATATGTGTAGATTATTATTGACTAAAGTTCTTAGCTTCCATTAGGATCCATTCCTGGTGCTGCATATTCTGTGGGTTTGGGCACCTGTATACTGACATGTGTCCACCGCTGTAGTATTATTATTATGTTACTATAACAGAGCAGTTTCACTGCCTTGATCCTCCTCCGTGCTCCACCTGTCCATCCCTGTCCCCCAACAACCTCTGACAGCCACTGATGTTTTCACTGTCTCCACAGTTTTGTGTTCCCGAGCATGTCATATAGTTTGCATCGCACAGTAGGTAACTTTTTAAGATTGGCTTCTTTCGCTTAGTGATACGCATTTAAGTTTCTTCCATGTCTCTCCATGGCTTGAGAGCTCATTTTTATAATTGCTGACTGCTGTTCCGTTGCCTGGATACACAGGGCTTGTTCACCGCTGCGCCTACTGAGGGGCGTTGTGGTTCCTTCTGCAGTCACGAATGAAGCAGCCATAAACATCTGCATGCGGGGTTTTGTGTGGACAGTTTTCAACCTCATTGGGTAGGTACCAAGGAGCACAATTGCTAGATTGAATGGAAAGTTTAATTAGAAATTTCTGAGCACGTTTTGTAGTGTAGGCCTGGTCAGGTGGATCAGAGTTGCTTGATTTAAAAGTCCTAGAATCGCATCTGTGTTTAATGACAGGACAACTCATGAACGCAATACCTATTTGAATGATATGAATACATGGATTGATATTCTACAGGTAAGACTACCAGGCTATCAACTTGGCGTCAAGTTGAGAAAGTTCCCTTCTATTCCTAGTTTGCTGAGACCTTTTTTTTCACCATAAATGGGTGTTAGATTCCGTCAAATACTTTTTCTGCATCTACTGATATCATCATATATGACTCTTTAGCCTGCTGATGTGATGATTACATTAACTAACTCTCAGATGTTAAAACAGCTTTGCATACCTGGGATAAATCCCACCTTGTTGTGGTATACAATTCTTTTTACACGTTGTTGTATTTCATTTGTTAAGTTTTTTTGAGGATTTTGCATCTATTAATAGGTTAATAAGAGATACTGATCCACAGTTTTCCTTTCTTGTATTGTCTTTGTTTGGCTTTGGTACTAGGAAAACGTCAGCCTCAGAATGATTTAGGAAGTATTATGTCTGCTTTTATTTTCTAAAAGAGATTACAGAGAATTGCTATAATTTCTTCTGTAAATGTTTGGCAGAATTCACCAGTAAACCCATCTGGGCCTGGTGCTTTTTGCTTCGGAAAGTTGTTATTGATTCAATTTCTTTAATAGATATAGGCATATTCAGATTATGTATTTCTCCTTATGTGAGTTTTGCTGGATTGTATATTTCAAGGAATTCTTCCATTTCATCTAAATTACCTAATTTGTGCCTATGTAGTTGTATATAATTTTCCTTTATTATTAATATCCTTTTAATGTTCATATGATCTGTGGTAATGACCTTTCATTTATAATACTAGTAATTTGTGTCTTCTCCATTTTTTTCTTACTTAGCTTGGCTAGAGGTTTATCAACTTTATTGATCTTTTCAAAGACATGGCTTTTGGTTTCATTAATTTTCTGTATTTATTTTATATTTTCAATTTCACTGAGTTCTGCTATAATTTTTATTGTTTCTGTTCCTGTGTCTACTTTGGATTAAACTGCCTCCGAAGGTAGAAACTTATATTATTGATTTTAGATCATTCTTCTTTTCTAGTACATGCAGTCAATGCTATGAATTTCCCCTAAGTACTGCTTTTGCTGTACCTCATAAATTCACATAAGTTATGCTTTACTTTTCATTTAGTTTAAATATTTTAAAATTTCTCTCGAGAGTTCTTCTTAGATCCATGTGTTATTTAGAAGTGTATTGTTTAATTTCTAAGTATTTGAGGATTTTCCAGTTATCTTTCTGTTATTGATCTCTAGTTGAACTACATTGTGGAACTGAGTGCATACCTTGTATGATTTTGTTCTTTTAAATTTGTTAGGTTGTGTTTTATGGTCCAAAATGTAGTCTATCTTGGTGAGAGTTTCCTGTGAGTTTGAGAAGAATGTATAATCTGGTGTTGTTGGATGAAGTCGTCTATAGATGTCCATTTTACCCATTTGATTGATGGTACTATAGAGTTCAACTATGGCCTTACTGATTTTCTGCCTGCTGGATCTGTCAGTCACCTGTAGAGGGCGCTGAATAGTGAATAGATACATTCACTATAATAGTGAATGTATCTATTTTTCTTTGAAGTTTTATCAGTTTTTGCATGACTTATTTTGACACTTTTTTTGTTAGGAACATACATGATAAAGATTATTATGTCTTCCTGGAAAATTCACCCTTTTATCATTGTGTAATGTCCCTCTTTATCCCTGATAATATTCTTTCTCTGAAGTTTGCTTTCTTTGAAATTAATATAGCTGCTCTAGCTTTTTTTGGACTAGTATTTGCACAGTATATCCTACTCCATACCTTTAATTTTTTTCAGCATAGATTATGTATATTTATTTATATAAGTATGTATAATACATGAAATATATTTAGAACAAATCATTAAATATCAAAATTTTAGATTAAGATGTTAGGCTAAGTTCCTAATGTACCCAATACTTTTTTTCCAGCATATTATGGAGGTACAAATGTTAAGGTTATGTATGTTGCCTTTGCCCTACCCCACCTTGAGTCAGAGCTTCAAGCATACCTTTAATTTTGACATGTCTTTAAAGTGTTTTTCTGGTAGCAACATGTGGTTGGGCCTTGGTTTTTTTCTTATCCACTCTGAGAGCCTCTGTCTTTTAATTGGCGTGTTTAGATCATTAGAGTAACCACCATAGCCAGACATAGAGAGGTGAACAGGTACCACGTGCAGCGTTGTGTTCTATTTGTGGCCCTTGTTCTCTGTTTCTTTTCTGTTCCCTCCCTCTCTGCCTTCTGAAGTCTTAGCCTGTTCCTGAGCTACTTGGACCCTTCCCTGCCCTTGTTGGGACGGGACTGCTCCAGGCGCCTGGCCTCGGGCCTCCCCTTCCCCGTGGTCAGACTGGGGAGCCCAGGTCTGTCAGGCTCTGGAAGAACAGTCCCCGTGAGGCGGGCCTTTGAGAAGGGAACTGGATGCCTCAGAGCACGTTTGGAGATGGCTCCTCTCCTCCCCTGCTGGGAACACAAGGTCTGTTCCTCTGATCTACACCTGAGAACCTGGCAGGGCTCCGCAGGTAAAACAAGTGTAGGGCCTGCTGAGTTTTGAATCACTCAGGCTTGTCCACACTGGGCATCCAAATGTGTGGATTTCAGCCAGGTTTTCCTACCCCAGACCTGGCTCCTGCACGGGTCGCTGTTCCTGGCTGTTGTGACTCTCTGCACCCACCTGCCTGTCTCTCCGTCTGGGGGCAGCTGCTTGCCTGTGAACACTAGCTCTCTGCTGGACCTGAAAAGAATTGTCGATTTTCAGTTTGTTCATCTTTTTTCTTATTGTGAGAACAGAGTGGTGATTTGCATGCTGGAGAAGGAACCAGAAGTTCTCATCATATGTGCCTCTTAGTTTTTATTTGCAAGCTTCTATAAATCAAAAGTTATCTTGTCATAATTTAAAATGAACAGCATACATAGTACTTTCTTTGCACTTTCACTGACTTCTGGGAAAATAATGTTAATCCCATGTAACAATATGTACAACATTTTAAATGAGTTTTTAAGTAAATTAAAACTTTTAAGATTCAGGGTTAAGAAAGAAAAACAGAGAGAGCTTTCTTTTTGCTAGTTACAAGGGTGTTATTAAATGAAGTATGGTATGTGAAAGACTAAAATATTTATTAGGTTTGTGTTCTGAATTCAATTTCCTATAAATCACAATTGTGAGTTAAACACAAGAACGTTGAGTCTGGGCTTGTGTCCTGCACAGTCCTGCCCTCTAGCGTTCGTGCACTGCAATAGAAATTCTCAACCCACTGGGAAGTGAGAAAGTGTCTCACCTGTCCTGATACTGGCGAGAGACTTGGTTCTTCACCTTGCCACCCCATCCGCTCCCCTCCCTCAAATTCCACGGAGGCCAGAGCAGGTTAAGGAAGGAAATGGCATGAAAACAATGCTTGAAAGGCCGTCTGCGATGCCCCTTGGAGGAGGTGCTGCTGTGTGTGAGTAGGGTGGTTGTCCACAGGAGCTCTGTCCTCACTGCCCTGGGGGACAGAGAGTGGCACCCAGACAGGGAGCTGGCAGGTGCAGCACAAAAGCCGGGGACAGGGAGAGAAGGCGGTGGAAGTTCTCACCTGAGGTGGCCAGAACATCAGCAGCGGGCACCGCTGGTCAGGCAGAAGGAAGGGAGGGGACAACCGCTTTGCCAGAGCTGTGGCCACCTGGCGTCCACCTCTGGGGACACACCGGGCTGCTGGGCAACCAGCGGCTCAGAGGTGATGGGGGCCCCTCTCCTCCTGGGAGCTGTGCCCCAAGACAGCAGCGCCCGGAGCGTGGGTGTGCGCAATCTTCACCACCGGCTAGCGTGTGTCTCTGTTCACTGGGACCCAAAGAGCGTAATACAACCACGGACTAAATGCTGTAGGATTTATTAATTTTAAACTCATTTTAATCTATGCCATTTTTTCATACATATTGAATCCGTAGCCTTAATAAATGTCCATTTCTTCTTAAAATATAAAGAAATCGAGGATATTTCAACAATGAAATATATAATGGAGGAAGAGTGTAAATTTTTTTTCTTGGGTAATACTCTTTGGTTAATATAATTTTTTCTGAGTTTAAAATAACATGAGAATTCACTCCAATAAAAAAGTAAACATTAATTTTCTCAAAAAATTTAATTGCAGAACTATTTACAGGAGGTGAACATGGGCAACACGGAAATCAAACGGAGGTGGCATTAGCATAGAAAGTTGTGAGGCGGAGGTGGGTGCGGTTTTCTTACAATCAGTGGAGAGTGGAAAAAAAGAGTCATGGAAAAAAAAGAACTCAACTAAAGCAGTCCTTAAATGCCTTCATGTAACAATCAACATTCTGATAAGTTATTAACAAGAAGCAAGAAACTGTGGCGGAGGTGAATGGCCCATGGTACATTCAGATCAGGTATCCTGCATGCGGCTGAGTGGGATTGATCAAAAGAACCGTAAAAGCATGAGAAAGAGAATCACACAAAATAGTTTAATCCCAGAAAACTGTGACTTTGTATAGACGTTGAATATTTGGCACTCTGTTCATCCTCTTGGCTGATATGATTTCGTATGTAGATTTATTTATACATATATTTATATACTTTTTAAAAAAAACTACTTTAAACAACTAGTTTTCTTGTTCTAACATTTCTTGCATTTCTATAGGAGGCATTTAATTTATTCCTTAGGCCACACCTGGGTGTTTGGTATGAAGGGTGGAGAGGGCGGGGACGAGAAGTCTCTCTGCAGGAAGGACCCACGCGAGAGTGAAATGGCTAATGTTTGAGAAATAGGTTCCGACGCCGCCTGGGGCTGACTGCTTGCGAGGGGGACGCGTTCAAACTCAGCAAACCAGCTAGCAAGTGGGGTGGGGAGACAATCATGCGGAGCCCTTTGAGAGTGGAGTGACCGTGATGGGGTGCTGGGGGCGGGAGTGACCGGGTAAGTCAGAGCAGGGGTGAGTGGCTTCCGCGCCGGCCGGCAGGCGCGCCACCACATCCCTGCGGAGACCGGGGTCTCCCGGACGAGATGCGTTCGGGACCTGGCGTGGCCTCTCCGCCCGTCATTGCCTCTCCGCCGCCGCGCCCGGGCAGCTCGGACGCCCCGTGCTTCGGGTCGGAATAAGCACCAATGAGAAGAGTCACATAAAATCTGAGAAAGTCGGGCGGTAACCCTGCGTTACCTTGGCTTGTTGTATATACAAAATCTTTTAAAAAGTAGTTTCATACTAGGTGACTCACATTTCCTCTGCAAAGACAGTCATCTGTCAAGTGTTCAGATTGAAACTGGAAATAATTTAACGCTTGATAAAAACGCCAGGGTTAGGTCAGCAATTGGTAAAATCACAGGCATTTGTCAGCGTGGCGGGGACGGGAGGTGGTCGCTCTCGGTCGTTCCTCGGAGCACCGCTTCTCTGAAGGGCGACACAGACACTGCGCGGAGAGCCGCGTTGGACTCCGGGCTCTGCGAACTGCCAGCAGCCCGGTCTGATTTCACACTTGGGATTCCTGCCAAGTGCTCGGTTTTCTGCTTCCAAATTATCATTTCTTTTCTTCGTCACTTTAATGTTTAGTTTAATAGCTCTTCATTTCATCTAAGAGGCAGCTGAGCTGAAGTCATGGTGAAAACATGGCCTAATTCTGGTGGGTGCTTGGATCTTGCTCTGGGAACTATCTAGAAACACCCGAAATCAAAGCCAGAGGGAAGGAGAATGCCCCTTGCGGTGACGTCTCTGCCTCCAGACCTTTCCGAAGAAAGCCCCTGCCCTGGCCCGGGGCCGTCCTGGCCTCCGTGTGCACCTGTGACCATCACGCACTCAGCACCCGCCTTCCGGGCTGGACCGGGGCATGTGGTTCCCAAGAGTGACTCACACCACAACACCCGTGCCCTGGGGCTCTGAGTACTCAGAGCCGATGTGTTGTCAGTCCTCATGCTGCGTGTGCGAGAACGACAGAGACAGGCACTGCGAGCCCCTTGACAGAGGAAGAACTGGGACAGGAAGCTGAGCGGCGTGGCTGGCTGATGGAGGAATAAACACCAGGTGCTTTGCCTACCTACCTGGAGATTTCTGGCAACTGACTGCCCGTTTCTAAAGTGCTCTGCAACCCCCTGTGCTGGGCACGCAGCCCATCCTTCGAGCTCTGCTCACTGCTCACAGCTTGACAGAGACAAGATGTACCTGGTGTTGGCCAGGCCCAGGGACCTGGTGGGACCTGACGTGGCGAGTTTTGCCATGGGGGGAGCCCAGGGTGACGGGTGCAGCAAGTGCCATTGCCCCCGCCCGTGTCGTTAGCCATGCTTATGGACCGGAAACCGACTGTGCGCTTTCTCTCTCAAGCGTGCGGTCTTCGATTTTATTTTCAAGTGTTTGAACCCTGTGTTTGATGCACGCCTACAAAGGAGTATCAACAAACATCCAGATGGAGACAAGAAAATACTCAGAGGGTTCCCAGGGAGTAGAGTTTAAAACCACTGTCTTAAACTAGCACGTTAAATTTGTAGTAAAAAAATAAAAAAAATGAAGTTCACGTCTGGAGAAATAGATGGCTGGGAGATGAACACACATGAGTATGCAGAATGTAGTTATTTAGGCCCATTTGGGAGGAACTTGTTTCTACGCTCACCGGCAGGACGAGTGTGAACTGAGGGCAGTGTCTAGGTACTGTTTTGGGGTAACACTTTTACCCTCGCACCAGCACACACGCTCACACCTGTTCCCTGCTACCTCTCCCTCCCAAGTGCATGGAGGTCTCCAATGTCACAAACGATGGCCATCCCGCTGGTCTAAGTCAGGCTGGGCCGGTTCAGACACGGCGCATGGGACCCTCTATCCGGCCGAATGCTTTGGGGCACCTGTCAAAATTCTGAGCAAGGCTGATACTCCCTGTGTCCTTCAGGTGGTCCCTGGGCTCTAAATCCTCAGGGCCACAGGAGGTCGGGTTTGAATTGGACCCAAATACAAAAAGATCCACCTGCCCCATCCCCGCTTGCCACCAAAAGGTTTGGCCCAAACCAGAGAGCTGTCCCCACGCCACTGCAGCACTCCGCCCACACGTCCACCCTGTGACTTTGCTGCCCCGAGAGACTCTGTTCTGGCGTGGGGTGGCCGTGCCCCTACCGGAACAGCACAGATGAGGGAAGGAACAGATTCTGGGTCTTTTAATTGAAAGGGGGGGCACAGCGGCTACCTCCTGTGGGTCTGGAAAGGCAAGGTCCAGATGGGGCGATAGGACATGCCCCCAGGAGATGGTCCAGCCCCGTGCACCCTCAAGCCCCGCAGCTCTGTCCCGTCTCGTCTCAGGTTTGGCCACTTTCATGAGAGCCGGCAGGGGAGACTGACTCTTATGTTGCAGGTCACTGATTTCTGTGGCTTTTTTTTTTTTTTAAAGAGACTACTTTCAACGTAATTTGTATTTTTTCCCTTTTTTGCTTGAAGTCTTTAGGGTTGATTTGAAGTTAAAAACATCAACATTTCCTTTTAGGCGAAATGTAGTTTTTTGGTTCTGTTGACAGTTCAATTCGTTATACACTGTTCTAGGATGGTGATATACGGTTGCTGAGAAGAATGTGATAAAAACTGTCACTCGTTACGACTTTTACTGCAAACATGACAATGACAGCGTGAAGATGTACGAGATGAGCTACTCGGAAAGCGAGGTCAGTAGTGAGGGCATTCTCCTTCCCTGGGTGGACTCTGGGGCCCTGTTTGTTACACCTGTGTCCATCGTGTGAACGAAAGCCTCCGTGTCGCTCTGTCCACTTGTTGCTGGGAGGCTGTGAGTTCTACAGGGGTATCTGGCTCCACCGGTCACCGGAGGCTCCTTTAGGGAACACAGGAGCGTGGCTATGGGCAGCCTCACACTTTCTTTCTCGAGGATGTCCCTGGAGGGTTGTGTTATTATTTTTAATCAGGTTCTCAAATTGATGCATAATGTTTTATTAAAATAATATTCTAAATATGATGAAATGACCACATGAGAGCTTTCTACACTACGCATCTGCTGGGAGCAGCTGGAAGCAGCTAGCTTGGGTGGAGAACACAAGTATCATGAACAGTTTTATTTTTCTTTACATGTACAAATACACAAACATGGCTTATCTTCTGTGTCTCATGATCAGATGTCACCCGTGTGAGAACTGAGTATATTGCACTTGATTACGTGATGTAAACAGGTGACAGTCCATCAGACCTAGCAGCAGACGTCTGTTCTACCACGAAAGTCTTCTTTGGAAGGTGGGGGGCCACTTGGGGGCCTGTACCGTCCCCACCTCGGCGACCCCTACAATTTGGCGGGAGGCGAATTTGCTCTCGGAGGAATGGTTTAGGCCAAGACTTTTGGGGATGGTAAGGTAAACAGGAGTATACGAAACATAACAAATTAGTCCAGATCCGGTGAATATTTGCGTTCAAGTCGGCATCTTAGAATCTCGGAGCTGAGACAAATAATCACTGTCTAATTTTGCAATTTGCTTTTATGTGTTTTGTGTAAGTTCCAGGAAAATGGATTAAGCCCATGAGCTGGCATCAGACACGCCAGTGTGAGCCAGCAGCGTGCTGGGATATAGTTTGCATTGCTCTGACTCGGAGTGTGCACTGACTTTGCTTGTCTGTGCTGAGAGCCAAACAGCAGTTCATCTTAAACAACACATCCTTTCTAAAGTCTAAAATGCCAGTACTTGCTGATACATTTGCCTTTAACGTAGTAGAACGAATATAGGAAGAAGCATCATTATTGTACACTACTCAGGATTTAGATATTTATTTAGGTAGAAAAATGCTTTGAACACTCTGGGGAAAGTAGGGTTCATTTATAGAAGAATATTTCAGGGATCTTTTTTCTTTTTTTTTTCTTTTTGCATTTTTCAAGGATATACATTCATACTGATTTTTGCTTCCAAATATATTTTAAGGCTGTTTGGTAAAATATATACCAGATATGAGGCTCAATTTACAGGGTTTTTGTTTTTACAGGGAATTCTTAACTACTCGGCTTTAAAAAAGTAAAACTTTGAAGCTAAACATGCTTTGATATCAACCCTGCCCCGTGACCCCATGCGCGCTCGCGGGGTGTGGAACGTGAGGAGGAGCGAGGACTGTGGTCTCATGGACGCCGGCTGTGGAGCGCCTCACTGAACTCGCGACAACGTCTCGGGCTACACGGGAGCAGGTCCGTTCTAAAGTGCGGGTCGGGGGAGAAAACAAAGTGCTACACGGGCAATCGGCTCTGTTCTGCCCACGCTGAGCGCCTGGCGCTCCCCAGAGCCGCGGGAGGGAAGACCTGGTGTCTGGTGGAATATCTGTCTCCAGTTGCAATCCTGCTTGGGCCTCGGGCGGCAGTGAGGACGCGGACGTGGAGACCGCAGGAAAATCCGCCGGGCTTTTCCTTCGAAGACGCGCCTGCATTGCGACACGGATGTGGCGTTGGCGCCACGACCGCCGCGCCCACACTGAGTCACACACGTGGAGACCCTGCTCACTAGAGCTGCTCCTGTTTCCTTGGGTGCCAATCAGAGTCATGAACACTAATCACTTTTTTTTTTAAATTCCACGGCTGGAAGTCACAATATGTGGCCTCTTTTTCCCTTTGCATCTAACACAGACAAGACATAGGCTCTTGACTTCAGCAATATGCACAGGACAGAGAACCCTGGAAAAATACAAGCGTAAACTGCATTTCTTCTTCACTGTCTCAACTGAGATACACTTACCACTCACATCCATAGTTCTTAAACTTCGTACAACATCACAACTATGATTTGAAACAAGCAAACTTTTTCTTTTTTTTCAAGGATACCCTGGACAGTCATCTGATAGAGCAATTTGAGGATATAAATATATACATATGTAAAAAAAATCACATGTAGCGCAGATGGTGAAACTTAAAGAAAACACTGGGTATAATACTGTACGTTACAAAGAACTAAAAACCACAGTAACTGTGTCACAGACATAAGGATGATGTTTTTCTCTTTATACTCCCAGCCTTTCTTAAGGCCTTAAGATCTCTCTTCACGCATAACTTCTTGTGGGGACGTTTGGCTTATTTTCGAGTGTGCGGATGCTATGCTGGGTGTTTTAGTGGGTTCAGACTTGGAATCCCCTGGTTTTTCGGGGAACCTCAGGGCACGGCGTTTGGTGAGGCTGGAGAGATCACTTTCGTCACCGCACGCTCAACGAGGAGGACGGCGTGGCAGGCGGGCGGCCAGGACCGGAGAGCAGTGGGAGGCTCGGGAGGGCCACGGGCCTTTCCTTCCTGCGCGAGGTTGTAGCACCCTCCGCTGGGCTGCCCAAGGCTTCGAGGGAGTGGTGAGATGCACCTGTTCACAGTTGTTTGCTGTTCTCACCTCTAAGTGTCACACGGCTTATAAAAGTATAAATAACAAAATGGAAGCTGGGTCCCTGTCCTCCGAGAACAAGGCGGGCAGCTTGGTCTCACCGAGCCGTCAGAGCCACCTGCAAGCCAGACCATCAGGTAAAAAAAAAAGGAAAGAGTCGTCTGGCCACAAGCTCAGCAGACGACGCTGAGGAAAGCCACGGCGTCCCGGCCTGTGGCACAAGGAACACGACAGCAGGGGGCTCGTGTGGGGACGAGACAGGAATCACCCGGGAGGCCAAACTGGACAAGCGGCACCGGCGCGCTGAAAAGGGAAGCGGAAGGGCGGAGCCGCCCGCACTCAGAGCCGGGTCTGCGCCTCGGGGATGTAGATCTCGATGCTGTCCGCCCGCTCGCCGGCCGCGTTCTGGCGGAAGGACGCGGCTCTCTTGGCGGCCATGAGCCGTCGCCGGGCTTCCTGGCGCTGTCTGTCGGGCAGGTCCAGGGACTTTTCTCTGGTAATGGGGAATTTCCCTTTGGGGGGCTTCTTTGGTATTGGAGGGGGTACCTTTCTTTCTTCCTGAAAAGCATCACAAGGCAAAGTTGGCGGATCGTGAGAGCGGGGCCCGGCCTGGCTCTGTGCGCCCCGCTGAGTCTCCAGGGCAGACTCAGGTCTGCTCTCGCCCGCCCGCCCCTTCCCCGTGCTCACAGCCTCGCCTTCTGCAGCCTACATAATTTCGACAAACTCCCTCAAATTTGCCAAAGGAGGCAGAGAAGTTTGGGATTATGTGTACAAATAAGAAAATAAATTCTGCATGCTAACACCTCACCTCTCTGTAGCCGGTGACTTAATTTTACATTATTGCTAGATTAGCACTCACCCCATTCCTGCACTTTCCAAAGCACAAGGTCACCTCTGAGGTTGGCAGACACATATGACGCCAAGCTCTGAGCATCTCAGGAGGTCTAGGCTTCCCTGCTACATGCTGCAGGGTTTTCAGCAGATTTCGGAATTCCAATAATGTTCAGGAAATCCTCTTACCTGGGTGGCTGTCCCAGAGAAACACTGGCTAAATTCTCTCTGTCCTTGGCCTACAATACAACCCCACTGGCATGAACAGTATGTACATATCTGTATATGGGTGTGTGTGCAATGATTTGTGTATCACTTGCTTGGTAAAAAGGTGCAAATAGTTATTTCTGACTGTTAGCTCATGTTCTCAAGTCACAGCAAATATGTGCACGCCTTTTTCAGAAGGGTAATTCTCAAGCTCTGCAACAAGTGTGATAGGTAATGCTGTCACTGTCCCAGTGAAAGGTCTGTATCCAGCACTGTGCTGTGTCAGCTAAGCTGCTCCTAAACACGGAGGCCGGGCCAGCCTTCCAACTCTGCTCCCGCGCGGAGCTCCAACTCTGCACTGCCGTGATGCTGCCGGGGAAGAGCCCACCATGGAAGGGGCCGCAACCCCTCCCCTTTGCCTAGCAGATACCTGGTTGTGGGGGGAAACACCAAAACCCCAAACCTCTGTCCTTCCTTCAGCCTCTGGGAAAGTCCAAAGGGAGACCGCATGCGGACAACGGGGAGAGGAGTGGACTGTGCGTGGCAGGGACACCTGTCCCAGGGCCTGGGAGACTGAGAGTGTTGGCAGGAAGACGGCGCTGGCAACTGGCACTTTGTCCCTGCAGACGCGGGCCGGAAGCAGGCTCTCCTTCCTTACTTTCCGATACGTCCACAACAAGGGGCAGTTGGTTCATTGCAACCTTTCAGCTGTTTCAACAGGCAGCTGCTGCATTAAGCATGAGGCTGTGTCTCTCTCTCTCCCTCCTCTGTGTCCCCCGAAGTTCGGACCTGTGTGAGGTCCTCGCTGACACTGCTGTGGGAGCCCCTCTCCAGGGGCTCTCGAGGCCCAGGCCAGACGCCATGGAAGGAGGTCCACCAGGCCGCTGTGGGGCCCCGGACTCCCAAGCGCTAAGAGATGTGTGCAGAGTGGCAGGGGCTTGAGGGTGGGGCCTGCCTTGTGGACGGACTGGGGGACACTCCCTGTCTGGGCTGGGGGACACTCCCTGTCTGGGCTGGGGGACACTCCCTGTCTGGACTGGGGACACTCCCTGTCTAGGCTGGGGGACACTCCCGTCTAGGCTGGGGGACACTCCCTGTCTGGTCTGGGCTGGGGGACGCTCCCCTGGTCGGTCTGTGAGGACACTCCCTGTCTGGGCTGGGTGACATCCCTGTCTGGTCTGGGGGACACTCCCTGTCTGGTCTGGAGGACATCCCGTCTGGGCTGGGTGACACTCCCTGTCTGGTCTGGGGGACACTCCCTGTCTGGTCTGGGGGACACTCCCTGTGCTGGCTGGGTGACACTCCTGTCTGGTCTGGAGGACACTCCCTGTCTGGACTGGGTGACATCCCTGTCTGGGCTGGGTGACATTCCCTGTCTGGGCTGGGGACACTCCTGTGCTGGCCTGCTGGGGGGACACTCCCTGTCTGGGCTGGGGGACACTCCCTTCTAGGCTGGGGGACACTCCCTGTCTGGGCTGGGGACACTCCCTGTCTGGCTGGGGACACTCCTGTCTGGGCTCGGGGACACTCCCTGTCTGGGCTGGGACACTCCCTGTCTGGGCTGGGTGACACTCCCTGTCTGGACTGGGGGACACTCCCTGTCTGGACTGGGGACACTCCCTGTCTGGGCTGGGGAACACTCCCTGTGGGCTGGTGACACCCCTGCTGGACGGGGGACACTCCCTGTCTGGACTGGGGACACTCCCTGTCTGGGCTGGGGACACTCCCTGTCTGGGCTGGGGAACACTCCCTGTCTGGGCTGGGGGACACTCCCTGTCTGGACTGGGGACACTCCCTGTCTGGGCTGGGGGACACTCCCTGTCTGGACTGGGGAACACTCCCTGTCTGGGCTGGGGAACACTCCCTGTCTGGTCTGGGGGACACTCCCTGTCTGGACTGGGGAACACTCCCTGTCTGGACTGGGGACACTCCCTGTCTGGTCTGGGGGACACTCCCTGTCTGGGCTGGGGAACACTCCCTGTCTGGACTGGGAACACTCCCTGTCTGGACTGGGGGACACTCCCTGTCTGGTCTGGGGACACTCCCTGTCTGGGCTGGGTGACATCCCTGTCTGGGCTTGGGGACGTCCCTGTCTGGGCTGGGGGACACTCCTGTCTGGTCTGGGGACATTCCTGTCTGGACTCGGGACATCCCTGTCTGGTCTGGGGACACTCCCTGTTCTGGACTGGAGGACACTCCCTTCTGGGCTGGGGAACACTCCCTTCTGGGCTGGGGGACACTCCTGTCTGGCTGGGGGACACTCCCTGTCTGGGCTGGGGGACACTCCCTGTCTGGACTGGGGGACACTCCCTGTCTGGGCTGGAACACTCCCTGTCTGGGCTGGGTGACCACTCCCTGTCTGGTCTGGGGACACTCCCTGTCTGGGCTGGGTGACATTCCCTGTCTGGGCTGGGGACACTCCCTGCTGGGCTGGGGGACACTCCCGGTCTGGGTCTGGGGGACACTCCCTGTCTGGGCTGGGGACATTCCCTGTCTGGGCTGGGGGACACTCCCTGTCGGGCTGGGGACATCCCTTCTGGGCTGGGGAACACTCCCTGTCTGGGCTGGTGACACCTCCTGTCTGGTCTGGGGGACCACTCCCTGTCTGGGCTGGGGGACACTCCTGTCTGGGCTGGGTGACACTCCCTGTCTGGGCTGGGGACACTCCCTTTCTGGGCTGGGTGACACTCCCTGTCTGGGTCTGGGGACACTCCCTGTCTGGACTGGGGGACACTCCCTGTCTGGACTGGGGGACACTCCTGTCTGGGCTGGGGACACCCCTGTCTGGGCGGGTGACATTCCTGTCTGGGCTGGGTGACCACTCCCTGTCTGGCTCGGGTGACCATTCCCTGTCTGGGCTGGGGACACTCCCTGTCTGGGCTGGGGGACACTCCCTGTCTGGGCTGGGGAACACTCCCTGTCTGGGCTGGGTGACCACTCCCTGTCTGTCTGGAGGACACTCCCTGTCCTGGGCTGGGTGACACTCCTGTCTGGTCTGGGGGACACCCCTGTCTGGGCTGGGGGACACTCCTGTCTGGGCTGGGGGACACTCCCTGTCTGGGCTGGGGGACACTCCCTGTCTGGCGTGGGTGACACCCCTGTCTGTCTGGGGACACTCCCGTCTGTCTGGGGGACACTCCCTGTCTGGGCTGGGGGACACTCCCTGTCTGGGCTGGGGACACTCCCTGTCTGGTCTGGGGGACACTCCCTGTCTGGGCTGGGGAACACTCCTGTCTGGGCTGGGGACACTCCCTGTCTGGGCTGGGTGACACTCCTGTCTGGTCTGGGTGACACTCCCTGTCTGTTCTGGGGGACACTCCCTGTCTGGACTGGGGACACTCCCTGTCTGGGCTGGGTGACATTCCCTGTCTGGGCTGGGGGACACTCCCTGTCTGGGGGTGGGTGACACTCCCTGTCTGGGCTGGGGGACACTCCCTGTCTGGGCTGGGGGACACTCCCTTGTCTGGGCTGGTGACACTCCTGTCTGGTCTGGGGGGACACTCCCTGTCTTACGGGGCATCCTTGTCGGGCTGTGGATCACTCCTGTGGGTCTGGAACCACTTCCTCTGTTGGTCTGGTGACACTCCCGTCTGGGCTGGACATCTCCTGTGTA